AGATACAAGCACAGATGTGAAGAGATAGGATGTTATCATAAACAAAACTTTTCATACTACATCGAAAGGAATCTCCTAATAAAAATCAGCGTGCCAGTTTTATTCCAAGGAGAGCGTACTGATGGGTGAGTGGGGATATGTTGATGACATAAGTATTCACAGCTGGGATGACAATTATCTTGAACAGAAATAAGCACTCAGCAGAAACTTTTCCAACAGATAGAAAACAGTACTTGCACATAAAGATTTTGGATGCAGAATTACTAAATACAATATAATTCAAATACCTCTGTGTATTTAATATATATATATATATATATCTATATATATATATATATATATATATATATATATATATATATATATATATATGTGTGTGTGTGTGTGTGTGTGTGTGCGTGTGCGTGTGCAGGTACGGTGAAATAAATGTTTTCAGCTCGAACTGTCAAATGAGTGTGCTGACTTCGAATTCAAGTTGCGTTCATTACATTCACTTACGTCCTAATATACATGGGAAATGTAAGAATCCATCACCTCTCCCCCAGTTATGGATAAAATATCGGGACAGTCTGTGTCCTGTCTACTTCAATGGCACCAGTCTAGGAGAAGGAAACTCTGTATTCAAACCGGTTCCCCTATTGTAAATGTGTGAATACATGCGGATGGGGACCATTTGTGAATCCCAATTCCCACCAAAAAATCATATTATTTGCCCGTCCAAATCGTATACAACTTCTACTTTCCTTCGGATGCGGCGTCAAAAGTAGCCCAATATTCTCTAGTGAGCAAAAGAAACTAGACACAATAAAAACTAAAAAAGGTATACTCCTGCCATATGTGGATGAGAGCTGTCCAGTCCCTAATTTCCAGTCTCTCTAGTCGAAAACTGTCTCCCCGTCCTTGTGGGTGACAAAACCGGGCAGCCTATCGCTATTTCCATGAAATCTTTTCAGTCGGACTTTCTTCCTTGGTTCCACTTGTCCTAAGCTTTACTGTTAACTCCAGCCATGCCAAGCAGAATGTAGTCAACATCCTTCATTCCTTTGGTGAGATGTCATTTCCACTCAACCAGCTTTTTGCCATGAATTGCTACTTTATAGAACGGACTCTCAACAGTATACTTCCTTGATTACTACAATCTTTACCTTTTCCTGTCTAGGTTAACCGTTGCCTTCCCTATATATCCGAATAAAATTTTCCCATTATTCTGTAACCCTCTTTAGCGGCACCTTGAGCCTGTACAGGATGAACACCATTATATATATGGATTAGTTATAACAAATCTGGTCTGGAGATAGGGTTACTTTCACCCAGCACCGTAAATTGCAACAAAAAGTAAAATATTAACCTATAATCTCGAGTCATCTTAATTAGTCTCTCGAGAACGAGATTCTTATATGGATGGAGCCAAACACGTTTAAACTGTCAGCTCTATTTTTTTTTTCCTTTGACCAAGGGTTAAAAATGGCTTGAAGAGAATAAACTAGGATCAAGCTTCTTCGTTGCATCAACGAACTTTACTAAAAAGCACAGAATATATCACGTGAAGACTTTCAAAACCTGCAACATGTAAAATGTCTATCACGTGTAACACAAAGAGAAAATAATAACATAATCATGATGCTGGCGTTCCACATTTATTCAAACAAACTTTTATTGGACTAGAAAAACCTACTTTCCTGAAATTTTGTTTTAATGCAAAGATTCCAGCCGAAAGTAACTCCAGTTACGGTAAAAATTACCATTCGCCAGCTTAACGACTTATTCTACTTACATTATTGTTTGATTATTTTCATATTTCAGTGTTTGAAATACTCTATTTTCTTCACTTTCTTAAAATTCGCAACACCAATTCATTCAATTTGTCTTGCTAGTCATTTTTATCTACTAATTTTCAAGTCTATTTTTTTCTGGCAATCTTAAAAAAAGTTTCTTCTTCTTCTTCTTCTTCTTGATTTGGCTTTCGGTTTATTTTTGATTCCTGTTCAACATTTGAACAATTGCCATTACGTGTTTCTAGTCCTGCTATTTAGCATTTCCAATATTATGTTTTTCTTTTCGTGTTTAACTTTTCTCTCCATGACATGACATGGAGACCCGAATTCGAATACCATACGGGTTTCTTACATTCAATTATGGTCAAATACTATTGGAAAAGATATGAATTCAGCTCTCCCCCTAGCTATCGGTTAAATAGTAGAATTTTTATCAGTACAGCATTTTAATGCAATATACAAAACAAGAAAAAAAACATAGTCTTACCACCCAAATTATGTTTCCACACTAAATAATCCATAAGAGGTTGATAAGGCGTGAAAAATAGATAATTAAGTAAAAACAACTTTAACAATCTTTATATATCTTAAAGTTGAAATTATATATGAATAAAATTATATAAATATATATAATATATATATATATATATATATATATATATATATATATATATATATATATATATATATATATTAAAAAATTTTAGTGTAGCATAATAAAATCACACGCTTGCAAATAAATTATTAAAATATTTGAAATAAAAGCAAGTAACTATTGTGATGTTTCATTGCTTTATCGATCATAGAATTTAAACATGATATATTAATAAGTTAAAATCGTGCATATATTTCATATAAATATATAAACAGCATAACATATGTAAACATATATGTTGCCATTTACATTCGGCCTTGTGTCACATCTAAGCTACGCTTGGAAAATCAATATATATTACCATCTATGTTTAATGTGAATAATGTGCTTTACTTTTGTGTAGGAATTTTAAACTGGAGACTGAATTCTTCTGCTTGTGTGGAATGGTGTAGCTTCCTCTTGCCAGACACAAAGTTTTCCAGCATCAAATCCTCTTGACCCAAGGGAGCACTAGCTCCTCAAGGAATTTGATTTAGGCATCCGTATTCAGTCTGAGATTCTGTGGGAAGAAGAACAGAGGCATAATCTCGCCATCATTAGTGATCACTCTCAAAACAATGATGTTGACTGGATATATTATCCAACTCTGCACAAATCCTCTGCACTGTCCTCAGATTGACACCTAAACCCTTCCAGCACGAATGCCAAGAAATGCAGCATGCCCATTTAAAATTTTTGGTGGGGTGAATTACATGATGGTGCTGCTTTCGCAAAGACGGTACCCATCTGACACTCCTATACTGTGTATATATATATATATATATAAAGAGAGAGGGAGAGAGAGAGAGAGAGGCATACATATATGTGTGCTTCTTGGTTAGAATCGGGTTTCTGTTTCAAATCTATACATCAGAATTGTATGATTGAATTATTCGGTAATTATTTTTCCTATATCAATAGGAGTAGATAGATACGCCTGTTGTCCGGTTCGCACTCCTCCCTGGTCTTTTGATAAGGATTACAAGTTTATCATTTGTTTCCTGTTTAAGATTGTATTTTTAGTTTCTTGTAAAGTCTCCATCCGTTTAAACTTCCTACTGAACTCGGAATTACTATTCACTAAATAAATCTTCAACTCTTCCGTTCGCTATCGTCATTACTGTATAGTCTGAGGAACTTCATATCTTGCCCTTTCCTAAGCTCATGTAACACCATATAGTAATCTTCTACATTGAGTGGCTTTTGGGTCTTGAATTGGGTGAATTTTACTAACAAAAATTACATTATATTACGTGGAAACAAGTCTTTCATTTGTTCTTTGTTTTTGTCTCTATCTTCCTATCTCTCTCTCTCTCTCTCTATATATATATATATATATATATATATATATATAACGTATATATATATATATATACAACGTGGGCACTGATATCATCACAAGCCGGTTTCACAACAAATCCTTCATGCGTCGAAGCATGCGATATTGAACATGTTTACCAATAAATACAGCGTATCTTAAAGCAATATATATATATATATATATATATACATACATTCATGTACATGTATATGTATGTATGTATACCAGATGTATCAGCAAAATTGTCCAAATTATGTTACTAATAAATATAGCATATGTTAAAGAAATATTATATATATATATATATATATATATATATATATATATGTGTGTGTGTGTGTGTGTTTGTGTGTGTGTATGTATGTACATGTATAAAGCGCAGCTTTCGCAAAACAAGAACAGATCATAGAGGTGAATATTGCCTAATTTCTTTAAATTTAAGGAATGTGATATTTTCCATTAATATTCTGCATTAACAGAGATTATGTGATAGTGCAATGCTGCATCTAATAAATCCACCATGGAATTTTCTCAAGGTCATAAAAAAGAGATAACTCTGCTGAAAATACTATTAAGCGGTGGAAAGGAGAAAGAACACCGGAAATGAATTCACAATTCGCTCTGTTTTACTTTGCTGAAATCTCGTGAGAATTCACCAGTTGCTCTGCAGTACGTAAGTCTCGTGCGATTGTTCGTTAAATCTGTAGAATATGAAATAAAGTCACATATAAAGGATGGCCGAAAAAAAATGAAAACGAATTGCAATGAAAAACGGTAGAGATAATATCAAGGTTTTAAAAGCAGAATAAACCCTTCATAGACACGCACGCACGCACACACACATATGTATATGAATATATATATATATATATATATATATATATATATATATATATATATATAAGTGCATATACATATATGTGAATATACATATATATATATATATATATATATATATATATATATATATATATATATATATGTGTGTGTGTGTGTGTGTGTGTGTGTGTGTTCTGTGTGTATGTGTGTGTACACATATACATATATGGAGGGAGACAGAGAAATTTGGAGGCCCCGAAACAGGGAGAGAAAATAGCTACCACTTTATGGAAGAACAAATATTACAGATAATAATGGCGATCTATGAAAAAATGTTTCAGGCGAGGGAATGAAAGCGAGGCGAATGAAAAGACACAACAAATGAAAGTGAAAGAAATCCTTCACCATTGGATTTAAAACACACAAAAGTTAGAAAAAAAGGAAGTAAAACAAAGGAAGGAAGAAAAAGATAAAACCAGAAAGAAAGAGTGAAAGATAATTTAAAAAAAAAATACGTTGCAGAAAAACACAAGGAAATGTCGAAAAAGTCAGCAAAACGGAAAAAAAAGAAAGACAGATGATGATAAAAACACCTGAACAGATTAATGAAAGGAATAGAACTTTCATGTAATTCTGTATAGACTAAAATAAATAATGTCGGATGAAAAGAAGGAGATGAAACACAAATGAATATATAATTAAAAAAGAAAGAAAAACAGAGCAATACAAAAAGAAAATGAATAAACTTAAGGTAGAAAGAAAAGACAATCATAGACTGCAAAAAGAAGAGAGAAAAAGGGCCGAGAAACAAAGCAAAAGGAAGAAGAACGTTTTAAAAAATGAAAAAAAGATAGAAAAGTAAGGAAGAGCTAGGATTAGGCAGAAGAAAATGGAAAAAAGCCAAAAGAAATTGAACAAAGTTCAAACAGTAAAAAGAAAAAAAGAAAAAGAGTTAAAACAGTAGCTGAAGTAAAAGACTTTTAAGACGCCCAAAATATGACCATAAATAAATCAAATAAAGACGAAAGATACAAGAACGAAGGAAAATTACTAGAAAGATGCAAGTAAAATATAAAGCAACGCATATTGACGAAGAAATATTAATAATATAAAAGTTAAAAAAAAATGATAAAAAAAACGAACAAAAAATCTTCATATCATATTTGTAATACGGTTGTTGGATAGGCAGTGGAAGGAGGTTTTCTGCTGTCATGATAGAATCATAGCAGATGGTTGTATGGAAGCCCAAAATATAGAAAATAAAATTCAAGAGTAAAAAATAGCATTAAAGGAAAGCTGTCAGTTACTGAGACGCATCCCGGTTGTTCAAAACGAAGGATTTCTACTTTCAGACAGCCATTATAATCCATTGCACTGCACAAGGCAGAGCGCATTAAAAATAAAGTGGGTTTGCGCATGCGCCACTGCCTCTGCCCGTTTGCGATTATGCATTTTGACGCGAGTTTGGGAGTATAGACTTAGAGATGTGCACGTATGTTTGCAAGATAAAAGAGAAGGACAAGTGAAGAAAAAGAAAATTAAGGCCAGAGAAATAGTGTAGATTTTTTGCTGTAAATATACACCGTATGTGTAACTGAGACTAAGAGAAAAGAATGACAAAAAAGAAAGATGGCGGGATGGAATTAGCAGGAGATTGCGTAAGGGAAGGCATCGGTTTTTGTACTGAAGTAAAAGGCGGCGTGGTTACTATAAATATATGAGGAACTTATACATGAATACATACATATATGCATGTGTGTGAATATATATATATATATATATATATATATATATATATATATATATATATATATATATATATATATATATATATATATATATATGCAGAGAAAAAAACATTGACAACAGTGGACTAGACAAATAAGGAATGTGAGAGAAAGACTTGTAAAAATTTTAAAACTAAAAAAGTAGAGAAAAACAGTGTCTTAAACAAAGATATCTGACCAGGTAGTGGTAGAGAGAAATACGTAGGCGAGTTAAAGTTAGACAAGTAGAGAATAAGAGAGATAATGAGGACAGACTCAGAGCGAAAACTAGAGAAGTGAACAAAGAAAGTAAATGAATGACTTAGAGAGAAAGAGAAAGAACGAGAAATTATCTAAACTAGACAGGTAGAAAGACAGTCAAACAAATTTAGAAACCATTAATTGCACGGAGATAGATAGATAGATAGATAGATAGATTGATAGATAGATAGACTCTAACGAAATTAAATCTAAGTAGACAGAGAAAAAGTGAGACGCATTCAGATCCATGAGAGAAAGAGATGCCCTGGTAAAAAAAACCTAGAGAGACCTCGATAAATTTGATAGAGAGAGAGAGAGAGAAAGAGAGAGAAAGATAATTCTACAAAGTTAAGAACTAAACTGGAAGAGAGATAAGGAGATATTTCGATCAAGTTAAAAACTGAAAGCAAGAGAAAAAGAGATAGAGAGGGAGACAGGTTTTAATAGAGAGAGAGAGATGTAAACAAAATGAGATTTAGTCCGTCAGAGATAAAACGAAGAGACAAAATTAAAACTAAAGAGGAAGAAAGAGAGAGATTATCTTATATAAATCTAGATAGGTAAAGAGAGAAAACGTTAAAACTTGACAAAGTAAGAAAGAGGGAGAAAGATTTTGGTAAATTTAAAGATAGGCAAATGGAGACAGTCTTAGACATCATTAAAACTGGACACATTTTGGTTAGCTTAAATTTTGACAGATAAAGAGAGAAAAAGAGACTTAAAGTTTAAATTATGTAGAACGAGAGAGAGAGAGAGAAAAGGAAAAAGGAAAGAATGAACCGATGAAAAGAAATAAAAACCAAGGCGTGTATTTCTATTTGTTTTTCCTGCATTATGGAAAAAATGAAAAATTCTGTATACGAAGCTTTGTTAGAACGTGTTCAGGTGTCGAGAACTGAAAGAAAATCAGCTTTTTAAATTGTCAGTGTGTATGTACGCATGTGTGTAATTGATTTTGGTTTGTTTGTTTGTTTTTTACCTTTTCTAAAAGCTTTGTGAGTTATTTAGAGCCGAAACATATTTAAATTCTAAGAATGATTTATTTTTTATTTTTGCGAGTGACTATTGCTTGTGTTTTATTTCCCAATTGTTTCGCCATCTTTTTTAGTCAATTATTTTTGTACTTCATTGACTCTGAAGAGCGAGGATCCATAAACGTTTAACCATTTTTCTTATTTTATTTTAAAACTTTGCTTTTTCTATACAGAAATCCTAATATTTAACCATTAGCTGGGGGTGATGAAAGAGATTCCTCCCTTTCCCAACGGAATTTACACATAAGTCAATGAAATGCACATGAGTGCAATCCAAATGATTTTCGAACATCTAATTTCGAATCGCTACGTGTGTATGCCAGACGCTTTTTGTTTGTCCGTGTCAAGCGAGAACAAATCTCAAATCATACAATTTTTCGAGGTCACAGTATATTACAGTGTAACCCCATACCCCCACAAAACCAGAACCTTCTGGTTTATTTTTTAATAAACTTTTAATATTACTTTATATTTTTTATTTATTTTTGCCCTGTCAAGGTATATAAGTTGGCTTTGTGCATGACATATTGGAACAATAATCTTCCCCAATATGTCTTGGTCAACCATGGAAAAGACATTTTGTGTAGAGGCTTATATTGCCAACGAATCATATACTGTAGTCCAATCAGATTTTCGGAGAAAGTTTCAGTGACGTCGTGCTCGATCACAAAACAAAATTTTTGACTGGGTTCAAAAGTTCAGAGACTATGGGACAGTGCAAGATCCGAACGCTGAATGTCCGAGGGACACTTATTCTGGTTGAAGGGTTAGTGCTAGCGCAAAAATGGACATTGATGATGTAAGGGACTCAGTAGGGCTGAGCCCTAAAAATCATTTCAACAACAACGTCAATAGCTGGAAATCTCTTGAGAGTCTTTGAAACGTGTTCTTAAATCAGATCTTCATTTGTATCCTTACAACATTCCAAATAAAGTAAAAACTGAGATGAACACCAATTGAATTGTTTTGTGTCACAATCGAAGAAAATCCAGACTTCATGGTTTCGTTCTCTGATGATGCGCACTTTCAGCTTTCAGTTCATGTAAACAGCAAAAACAATGGTTAATGGGGCACCGGAGGATGTGTTACAGCGGCGGTTACGGGCTCGGGAAACCCACGTAAAAACTCGGCCTTGTGCCACATGCAACCCTCGTGGGGGGTGGCTAGATACAGAGGCGGTTATATGCAACAAAATTCACATTATTGGTTGCAAGTTCTAATCATTGCATTATCGGCTCATATTGGTTGGAAGACTAAAATGAGAGACCCTAAGCAGTGAATACGGAGCGCTATGGGACAGTGTTGAGGAAGCTTTGGGTATCACTGGGACGACACAGAGGGATAGATCGAGATGAACAGTGGTTCCAGTAGTATACACCTGATGAGGACTGGAAGGCCCAACAGTCGAAACGTCGTGATAACAACAAAGATCAGGAAAATATTCCGAAAATAAATAGCTTAAATAATGCTAACTCGTCAAACAGGAAATTAATCCGAATACCGTAGAGGAATGTAAAGTAGAGAAGGTGGCCAAAAAAATCCCCGTGAGTCACATGATGGCCGCCTAATGACGTCACTTGATGACCAAAGCGCCAGTTATTTTTCAGTTCGTGTATAGTAATCAAACCATAAGGTTGCTTTCTTTAGCTCGCCCACCCCCTAGCTCGGACAGAGGTTATATCTGCCCTCTCCCAGCAGCTTACAAGTGCATGATATGGTTTCCATTTGGCAATATATCTTTCCCAGATATAGAAAGAATCTCCAGCTTGCATTCCTCAATTTAGAAAAAAAAAGAGTCTCTGCTTCCCGTTCATGGAATATGTCCTCGCCTGGCGACATAGATGTATCAGGCACGTTTGAATTTGGAGTCCTAAAATGAATTTTCCAGACCCACGAGTATCGCGATATTATATGTAAGACCCTTCTATTTGTTTCTCCTTACACTTTGCTTTGCTGTGTAGATAAATGGTGTATTATTCTCAGCGTGGGAAACAGGTATATATGTATCAGTATTGTGTATGTCTAAGTAATATAAAAAAAAGTCTCTCCGAGAAAAAAGTATGTTTGACATTCTTTTCCTTTCAGCCGTTTCTTCCTGTCCGTGAAGTACAATGTTATTATATCACGTATATATTGCCCATAACGGGGAGAATCGTAAATGGTAGAATCTTTCTTTCCAATATCTACTTCATTAAGAGACTATAAAAATACAAAATACAAAAACGAGACATTATTTGCGGTGAAACGGATTTTATATACAATTTTATAGGCAATTTTATATGCCATAGAATACATTGATTCATTGTTCTATGGCCTAGAATAATAAAGCAATGTATTCATTTATCGTCATTTTATTGCGAATTTTCATTTGTTCAATTATCAGAGATTTTCTGATGATATACTTTCATTGTTCTTTACTATTGGTCCACTTTACAATTACTGAAATGCCTGCCATCTTTTTTTAAACCAGGCAGAATAATGCAATTGGTATTAAAATGAAGTATTTTTATTTCTTTTCAGGATTACAGGATTTTGTTTTTCTATTTCTATTTTTTTTCTTTTTTTGGCACCGTGCATTTTCTAAATCTCTTTGCACATTTTCTTTCCATTTAGGAAGATAGTTTCTAATTTACTCTGGTTTTAACGGCACACAGTTGCTTCGGCATTGACAGAGAAAGACCTATTTTTTAGGCTGCTTTCAGCTTGGTGAAAAAAAATGAAAGTGCTATAGGAAAGACGTGCAACAACTGTAGAAAAGTAACTATTGTCGCATGAAAATAGAATTCCGGTTTTTTAAATCATTAAATGCAAAATGCAAAGTAAAGTGAGACGAAACAAAATATATAAAATGATACAGTAAAAGCCTTCTCGCTAATGATGTATTTCGTTATGCTACTAACAAAAGTAATACTTGCTTATTAGCGTAGTGCAAAGCCTTATCTGGTCAGAACAGCGGACTCTGAATGTTTTTTTTTTATATATTACAGAAAATATTTATCGGTTTCTTCCATCTAATTAGTGTTGGGTTTTAGATAAAGTATTGCCAGTATCATTATAATTTGTTTGGCTTTTTCACTATGTGACGTGCCTATTCAACACGTGGTTGATTATGGCTTACCATGGTCTGTTTTTATTTTTTTTAAGCTCTAAGCAATGTTTTATAGCCAATCATAATCTCTGTTCTGCTAGAGCCACATCATATTAAAACACCGTTTTATCTACGATTACTGAAGTTAAACAATGTCGAGCCTAAGAGGGTGAGGCATGAGAATACCAGGAGCTGTAAGCTTGGATGTGTGCGTAGTTTAATGGACAGTGGTTTGGTATTGTTAATCAGACAAGCGATTTCTCCTTCTGGTTGGGTTAGTTATATTCATTTATAAATAATATAACCTTAAGAAAAGTAGGAATCCACCTCTTCTTCCCCTTCTATAGGTTAATTAGTAGGATTTGTATCGCTAAACCATTACTATCTTAACAAAAAAAAAACAAATATTACACCTGAAAATATTTTCTGGCTTTAAATAACTTGTAGTGTTGATAAGCCGTAGAAAATGAATCAATCAGTAAATCATGTCCTGCTATCCACTAACACAGTCTTTTTATGTAGGTTGCTCGTTGTTATCTTTGATATACTTGCCTTCAGTACGTCCTGTAAGTGTCACAATCTCCTAACTGTTCTTTCTTATTATGTTTCCCAAAAGCTGCATCTGTTTATTTCTGATTATACAGGGTGCCCATAAAATATCTTTACGATTTTTAAAATATATTACAAAGGCAATTGAATTGATGAGATATCTTAATCAGATTTGTTCTATGTACTCAGTAGTTATCAAAGTTTTTAATCACATCGCATGTGGAATTTCGGGTGTACTTCAGTATTTGTCTCAAGGACATATGGACACAGTGGATAAAGGCGTTAGTTAGATCCAGTGACAGGACCCAAATAGTGTGAGTTCAATACCCGGCTAAGGCAGTGGAGAAATTGCAGAGGGAAATTAACAGGAGATAACTGATAACTGATATGCATTAAACATGGCACGTGGTACTAGAACAGTGTACCCCAGTGAGCGAAATAAAGGGTTCAGTTTGTCATTACAACCACCTGAAGAGGGCCGGAGTATACAACGGGCGAAACGTCGTAATAAATATGACGACAAAGATGTGGACAATAGTCCGAATAATGTAAATAATGTTCAGGTATCCTGTTGACGAAAGAGGTATTGTTAAATGAACCCCTAACATTTCCACACCTGTGAATTGGAAAGGATAGCCCAATTCGCTGGACATCTTGTTCCCCAGATATCAATTCTCTATACTTCTTTCTGTAGGGTTATGTTAAAGATATCGTGTCTCGAACAAAAATACGGACGTCACTGACCTAAAGTTAAAGATGGTTGATGACTTTGCCACCATTGATGAGGCTAACATGGCAAGAAATCGAGTGGTATTTATATAGGGGTGTATCAAATTAGTTGAAAAATACTTCACTATCTACTCTTAATTTTGTAGCAATTTCCTCATATTTGTCTATTAAGTTTTTTTTCTAATATATTTTTTACTTATCAAAGGACTTTATGCACACCATGTATATTAGATATTTATAAGATATACATTTCATGTTTTCATTTTTGTAGTCATGTGGGATCCTGCGTAGCAGCTCTGTATATAGTCATTTTTAACCCATTTTCTTATAACTTCTTCGCTACTGACATGTCCAGTTCATAATATTCTCAATATCCTTCTTGGACCTACATTACTTTTCCATCAACATTTTTTACATCACTCACCCTCTGGGG